TGCTGCGGGGTAGGATGGCTCCGGGGAGCGAAGGAAATGTATTACAGTTCTCTACAGTGTTAGTTCAAACACTAAACCCTAAACCCTGAAAAATTAGGGTTTAGGCAAGCATGCAGCAACGGGGCTTGAGCCTGCTTGCATGTTTGGTGGCTTTGCTGCTTGGGCTGCAGCGAGAAGTGCTGCAACGCATGAGACTCTTTCTCTTCTCTCCTCATCAGCAGCCACAGCAACTTCTGCTGCTGCACCCATGACGCCTCTGAACTGTAGAGAATCTAAACAGCTGCTGCTCGGGGTGTATTGCCTCGTTAGTTTATATTTTAATTTTTTTTAGTTTCGCTCAAACTCTCTTGACTCAGCCGCAGCTCACGTCTGTTTCATACAGAGGCTGAGGTCCTTCGTTACATATCACTTGCACCACTAAACCCTAAACCCTAAACCCTAAACCCTAAACACTAAGAACTATAGACTAAACCCTATCTCCTGCGGACAGAGCAAACTGCTGCTGCTCGAGGAGATGTTACTACAGCTTATTTCATAGTTTAATGGACTACTTGGTGGCTCAACCCGGGGAGAAAACAGAAAAACTAAAAACAAACAAAAAAAACTAAAAACAAATAAACTCATGCTGCACGGGGCATTTCTGCTGCCTTCTGCTGCAGCAGAGCCGAATTAGGATAAATAAATTTGTGTATATTCAATTAAAATTGTTTATATTAATTGTTAAATGTCGATAAGTTAGTAACACAAACACCAGCAGCATGCGGTGGTGTCGGCTGCTGTTGCTGCAGTTGCTGCTGCTGCTGCTGCTGCTGCTGGCAGCAGCAGCAAAGTGCATGCGCGTCGCTCTTCTAGTTTTGTTAATTAAGCATTTTCCCATCACCACTGGGTCAAAATAGGCCTCGTCTGCCTCGGCTATCAACCAACAACAACAGCAGCAGCAGCAGCAGCAGCAGCAGCGGCTGTAGCAGCCGCTGCTGCTGCTGGTCTTGCTGCTGTTGCTGCTGCTATCCTATTAGCCTCGCAGCAGCAGCGGCGCGATGTCTCCCCATTTCTGGTGACATGAGGAGAGCTGAAGCTCCTCCTGCAGCAAGCTTGACAGACACAAGCAGCAGCACATGCAGCAGGAGCAGCAGCAGCAACAGAGGCAGCAGCAGCAGCAGCTGCAGCAGCAGCATTGATGCCGCTGGGCTGAGGGCCCCGGGCACCTCACCTACACTTTCAGGGGTCAAGCCAACTGCGTGTAAGCGGGATGGGGGCCCCAGGACCCTAGCGCCTCGCACAACTCGCAACCAGCAGCAACAGGAGCAGCAACAGCAGCAGCAGCAGCAGCAACAGCAGCAACAGCAGCAACAGCAGCGTGTGTCAGATGGGTGAGCTTGTAGACGGGGGCGACTTGAGGTGCGGCAGCACCAGCACCGCGGCTGCCACCCCTCCCCCCGTTCTTGCTGCAGCAGCAGCAGCAGCAGCGCACTCATCACCAACATCATCACCAGCAACAGCAGCAGCAGCAGCAGCAGCAGCAGCAGCAGCAACAGATGCTCCAGAGGATGCGTGGCACTTCGTGGTGCCGTCGGCACACAGCAGCTTCATCTTCTCCCTCTGCCCGCGGGGCCCCTCTCCTCTCTCTATTCAGGTGTACAGACAGCTGGGGCGGCTGAGGGGGGCTGTAGCTGCTGCTCCTGTGCCTCTGTCTTTCTCTGCATCGTCAGCAGCAGCAGCAGCAGCATCGGCAGCAGCAGCTCCTGCAGCAGCACCTGCAGCAGCAGGAACAGAAGTAACAGAAGCAGCAGCAACAACACAATCAGTAGCAGCAGCAGCAGCAGCAGCAGCAGCAAAGAAAGGGGGAGAGGCGTGCTGCTGCATCGATAGCCTGAGATGCCTCACCAGGGCCCCCCACGTCTTCTCCTGGGCAGCAGATGCTGCTGCCTGGCTTGAAGGTTCATCTGCAGCATTTAATCCCGCTGCTGCTGCTGCTGCTGCTGCTGCTGCTGATGGTGCTGCTGCTGCTGCTGATGTTGATGGTGATGAGACTCAGCAAGGGCGAGTAAGGTCCTGCTGCAGACCTGATGCTGCTGCTGCTGCGCTGCTGCTGCTGGGGCAGAGCTCATCACCCCTGGGGAGCCAGACGCAGCTGCTGCTCGTGACGCTGCAGCAGCAGCAACAGCAGCAGAAGCAGCAGCAACAACAACGGCAGCAGCAGCAGCCGCACGGAGCACAACTGACATTGCTGCCTGTGGATGTGCTCGGAGCCGAAGGAAGCAGCAGCAGCAGCGGTGTAT